AGAAACCAGGGCTTGGTACATGAATGCAGCTGTGACCAATTTGCTTAAAAACATTCAAAACTGAAAAAATAGCAGCTCAGGGAATTATTGGAGCATTTTCTTCTGAAATACTACATCTCAGTATGGAGGGAGTAGCAGTAGCAAGAGCATTTGAAAGAACATACACAGCTCCATACTGCTTTAGAGCAGGGGTCCCCAACCCCCGGTCCGTGGCATGACAGCAACCAGTCCGCACAAACAAGCAAAGCCCCATCCATGAGATGCAGGCAGCACACACAACCATGCACCCTCCGGTCCGCAGAAAAACCTCTCTCCACGGAACCGGTCCCTGGTGCCCAAAAGGTTGGGGACCTCTGGTTTAGAGCACTCTCAAAGTGGTTTACAATGTTGTAGTAGTAGTAGTAGTAGTAGTAGTAGTAGTAGTAGTAGTAGTAGTAGTAGTAATAAAGTTGGAGGTCATCTAATCCAACCCCCTGCTCAGGCAGAAAACCCTGTACCAGTGGTGGCGAACCTATGGCACGGGTGCCAGAGGCGGCACTCGGAGCCCTCTCTGTGGGCACACATGCCACAGCCTTGCCTCCCCCCACGACCCCCACCTCTCCAGCAGCCCCCCTGAACAAGAGTCGCCCCTGAGCGTGGCCCACGCGGACCAGCGCAACCAAGGACATGGCAGCCAGGCAGTGTAGACAAGACTCTGCCTTCACACCCCATCGTGCACAGTTGATGCTGCAGGGCGTGGGCAGAGAGCGTGACCACCATAGCGCTGCTGGGCTGCCCGGGCAATCTGCGGCGGGCCCTGGAGGCGGTGAGTGGCCCTGCTGCCTGGGCGATCTGCGGCGGGCCCTGGAGGCGGCGAGTGGCCCTGCGGGCAGGCGGGGCAGGGGATGGGGAACGGGGATGGGGCCAGTTTTTGGGCACTCAGTCTCTAAAAGGTTTGCTATCACTGTTCTAACTGTCAGGAAGTTTCTCCTTAGTTCCAGGTTGCTTCTCTCTTTGATTAGTTTCCATCCGTTGCTTCTTGTCCTGCCTTCAGGTGCCTTGGAAAATAGCTTGACTCCCTCTTCATTTGTATATAGCCCCCAACAATCTGTCCTCATTTTAACGACTTTGCAAGGATGGAAGGATGAGTCAATTTTGAGCCTGTCAAGAACAAACTCTGGGCTGTGGGCAGAGTTAGCCTGCAACACTGCATTCTAGGCAGTGTCCCATCAGGGTTCCTTTTAAAAAGAGTTAACATTTTAAAGATTTTGAAATACAGGAAGCATTCAGCCAAACGGTCCAACAAATACAGGCAGTCCTCGACTTACAACAGTTCATTTAGCGACCGTTCAAAGTTAACAACAGCACTGAGAAAAGTGACGTGACCATTTTTCGCAGTTATGGCCACGGCAGCATCCCCCGTGGTTATGTGATCAAAATTCAGACGCTTGGCAACCAGCATGTATTTATGTTGGTTGCCTTGTCCCAGTCACGTGATCAGGTTTTTGCAACTTTCTGGCAAGCAAACTCGATGGGGAAGCCGGATTTACTTAAGAACCAGGTTACTAACTCGACACCTGCCGCAAGTCACACTTTCTTGCAGTGTGGCAAGGAAGGGCGTGCAATGGGGCAAAACTCACTTAACAAATGTCTGATTTAGCAACAGAAATTTTGGTCTCAATTGTGGTCATAAGTCGAGGACTGCCTGTATAGAAAACTGTCACCCACAAGAACAAAGAGTTTGAAATTGCAATCTCTAGGGATGTTGGGATTCCTCGCCAGCCAATGGACCCGGCAGCTGAGTCTGAGGAATCAGGAGGAGGAGGAGGGGCCTGGAGTGACATCAGAGTCGGAGGAAGGCTCTGAGAAGCTCCAAGACTTACAGTCGGACGAGGAGCCTGGCCCCTCTACTCCCGCTCAGGCTGAGACACAGCTGTGCTGGGAGCCTGAGTTGGGACAGTGATGAACAGTTGGGACAAATCACAGGTGCACGAAAGCGCAGGCAAGAGAAGCGAGTAGGACAGAGGCATGCAATGGGGCGGCTCCAAAGGCAAAAGAGAAGGCATTAGGAAGCCACGCCTTGGCTGAATTATAAAAGGGAAGGTGTGGGAGGTGCTGGTTGCCAAAGGCAACAGTTCGTGTTGAGGATTGAGTTTCTGTGAACGGTGTTTGTTTGCCTTGGACATTGACTCAGGTCTGTGAATAATAAAAGGGGTTTTATTTTTTCCCTGCGGTTCCAGCCTGCTTGATTGGAAGAGGGGTTTCTCCTTGTGAGCATAGCAAGGACTCAACGTGGGCTGGGACAGAACAAGGGAGGCAAAGTCAGGGCACTATGACTTCCATAATCTCAGCAACAACAATTCGGTAGGTTTCTAAAGGAAATGCACTGGCTGTCATCACTCTCTAGTGGTTTTTATTAAAAATCATAGAGCAAGAAGGACCCATAAAGAGTGCTGGAAAGAAGGGATGGGAATAACCATGGAATAAATGCATCTCCCGGTAGCTGTGAGACAGGACAGAGGCCCTCAAAATACTGCTCATAAAATTTAGGGAGTTTGAAGTCCACTCTTCTTACAGTTGGCAAGGATGAGAAACACTGGCCTACGGTTATCCCAGAAAAGAAATTGATCTAGAGCAGGGATAGGCAACCTTGGCTCTTTTATGAGTCGTGGACTTCAACTCCCAGAATTCCTGAGCCAGCCATGCTGAGGGGACAGGGAGAGGTTTCCAAGCTGAGCCATTCTGGCTCAGGAATTCTGGGAGTTGAAGTCCACAAGTCATAAAAGAGCCAAGGTTGCCTACCCCTGCTCTAGAGGTAGTCCTCAACTTATGACCATATTCTGTTGCTAAGGAGAGTTGTTAAGTGAGTTTTGTCTCATCTTACGATCTTTCTTGCCACAGTTAAGTGAATCAACTACAGTTGTTAAGTCAGTAAGACAGTTGTTGAATCTGGCTTCCCCATTGACTTGGTCAGGTGGTAAAAGGGTGATCACGTGATCCCAGAGCACGTCATAAATAGGAGCCAGTTGCCAAGCATCCTAATTTTGATCACCCGGTTATGGAGACGCTGCAATCGTTGTAAATCTGAAAAATGGTCGTGACCTTTTTTTCAGCGCCGTTGTAATTTCAAACGGTCACTAAACGAATAGTTGTAAGTCGAGGACTACCTGTACACTGGCTGCAGGGAGGGGGGAGTTCCAACCCAACACATCTGGAGTTCACCCTTTGGCGAAGGTTGTTTTTCACAAATGCAACAAACACAATCAGCTCTCTGCAGATCCACAAAACATAGTTTTTAATCCCAGGTTTGAAGAAGACACAACAAGCAGGAGAGGGGTGTTTATTATTCATTAACTGAAGAATTTTGGCTTTTTTTCTCTCTCTCTGGAAACAACAACAACAAAAAAATCCCACGATCATCACAGTTTAGCGTAGAGGCGCTCTCTTACCCTGCTTTATTTTTAAAAGTGAAAACATTTTATTGCATTGTTTTAATACACATTTACTGTCTTAAAATCATTTAAAAAAAAACAATAAACCCACCTCCCAACCTAACAGCAGCTGGTCCCAATAAACCATGAAAGGAAAAATGCCTGACTGATCATCTCGCAGTTCGGTAATTAAAATACTGCTGATTTCTTGGGTCCCAAGAAAGATTTTTATTTGAGGACACAATACCTCTGTTATTGGCCAGATACACTAGCAATGGTGTTTCTCAAACCTTGGGAACTTTAAGGCACATGGACTTCAACTCCCAGAATTCTCGGAGTTGATGCCCGCATGCCTTAAAGCCCCCAAGGGTGAGAAACACTGCAATAACAGATTCGTATTGCTGTTCACTTATTGGGCTGAACAAAAACACATCCAGTTCTTATTTCTCCTAGTACCATCTTTTCCAAAACAATCTTCTGTATTCAACTGGAAATATTATTTTAAAACTGGCTTGTCACATATGATCGCTGTGAAAGAGGAAAGAACTACCATGAATTAAATGTTCAAGATGTCCCGGATTAATTTATTTGGGGAAAAAGTATTTTCCCTGTCTAACCAGGAAGGGCCAGGTTTTATGTATTTTTGTCTGCAGCTACTGGCGCAGCCTGCACACACACACACACACGCACACACACACCCTTAAGATACAGCTGCCATCTCGTTACATTTTTAAGATGCTAATGCAGCATTTTCAGCTATCCCTCATTGCAAACACGTTTTTTTTTTTTTCCCAATCGTTAAGCAATCTATTGTGGTTTTGTGTTACTTCTCCCTGGGAGAAGAAGGGATGGCCAGCATGGATCAAGTTGAGCCCTGAACAGGGTCAACTGAAATGGAATCAACCGAAAAAGGAAAACAAATTTCTTTTGCAAAAATTACCAGGTGCCAGCACCGTTGTTTGTAATCATCAGAGTAACTAACGGCTTGCATGTTTCTTGCTCCAGCAATTTATAGAATGATATTGTTTCACAAACAATCAGATTCAAAAGCAGACAGTAACTTTTTTTTTTCTCAATGACACAACCAAAGAAAAGCAGAACAGGAAATCCAGGCAGAGGCCAAACGAGGTGGGCAGCCTGCGGTTCCTTAACACACAAGCTGGGGAATGACCTGACCATGCTCGGGTGTCCTCCAATGTGCCACACACCTCAACTGGACCCGCAAGTTTTTTTCCTAAGGGCGGCGATTGCCACAAAGTGCACGCTTGAAATTTTCCAATCTCTTAAGGAGGTCCAACTTTCTTTAGAAGAAAGATCCCATCTGAAGCGACGGCAGCCGGCACCCGCTTCAAACTGTGAACGGGCAACTTTGCCATCTTAGCCCCTCGTCCCAAATTGGTTAGCAAGGAAGAAAGACCCACCCCGGGAAACCCTCGTCATTTTTTCTGCAATTCTGCAACTCCAGGCAGATACATTCGCTGTGGTGGCTGTACAACAGTTCTCCTGATCAAGGGAACCGAAGAGAAAGTTTCACGCTGCTAGGTTTTCACATCGCAAGAAACTTCAGGAATTTTTTTTTTTTTTTTTAAAGTAACAAGAGGTTCAGGTTTCTTCCATTGGTGAATCTGCATCTTCTCTGGTCGAGTTGGAAAAACCACAAGTCCTATTTATCACCTAGGAAACAAAGCAATAGCATTAGACTCAACTTCTGGACTCAGTTTAGTAACTTACCTTTTAAAATAAGTTCAGTTTTAGGTTCAGCTGGACTAAATGTGCTCAGCTGACATCAAGCTGTGTAACTTTACAAGTCAAAGTCCTGCTTTCAGTTGATAGAGTGGATTGGTTTGTGCCTTTAGAGCAGGGGGTCTTCAAACCTGGCCCTTTTATGACTTGTGGACTTCAACTCCCAGAATTCCTCAGCCAGCGTGTCTGGCTGAGGAATTCTGGGAGTTGAAGTCCGCAAGTCATAAAAGGGCCAGGTTTTGAAGACCCCTGCTTTAGATTGTCTTTTTGAAATGTGCAGATTGTGCCTCCAAACAAAACAACCACTTTGACTGCTTACAGAAGCAGAAATTTGCATTTAAACCTTTCAACTGATTTTTTTTAAAAAATAGGATCAGATTATTTGAAAGACCATTGCAACTCAGGTGTCCTTACTTAAACATCAGGATCTGCTTTCGAAGATCTTTTTTTTGTTCCTCTAAGACAGGGGTCTTCAAACTTGGCCCTTTTATGACTTGTGGACTTCAACTCCCAGAATTCCTCAGCCAGGCACGCCTGGCTGAGGAATTCTGGGAGTTGAAGTCCACAAGTCATAAAAGGGCCAAGTTTGAAGACCTCTGCTCTAAGATTAATTCAGTGAGCACACACTATATAGGTAGTCATGGACTTACGACCATAAATGGAACCTGCCCATCATGGCTGTTACTTGTGACAGTCACAAAACAGGTCGGACGCATGACTGACCCAACTTGACCTTTTTTTGCAATAGCCGTTAAGCAAATGCCACAGTCATAAAATGGCTGCTGTAGTCATTAAAGCAAAACAGAGGTTTGCTATTGGCACAATTTTCAACAAAACCGTCATAAAATGTGGGGTCACACGATCAATGGATGCTGCAAAGAGCCAGAAGTGTTTCCCAGCTGCCAAGCACCCCCACGGTCAGTCAGGTGACCACAGGAAGGGTTGGAACTTCAAATCTGGCCCCCCAGAAAAGTCCACCGAAATTTTGAACCATTGCTAAGCAACCAATTGTAAATCAAGGGCTGTCTGTATAGCAAGAGAATAATTTTTCAACTCAGGAATACTGTACAACTTTGTTCCCACTGAGATACCAACTTTGCCAATATTCAAACAGCTTTTAGCATTTAGTTAATCATTTTTTCCCCATTTGTTTCTCATTTTTCCAGTCTTAACATCAATCATACATTAGGGCAGAGGTCCCCAACCTATGGGCCGTGGCCCACTACCGGGCCGTGGCCTCTTGGCCGCCGGGCCATGTGAATAGCTGGGCAGTGCATACGCGCATGTTCACCCCCCCTAGTGCCACTGTTGCCGTGAGTGTTGTGTGCGGGAGGTGGCAGCACTGCTAGTATCGTGCGGGCGACAGCGTTGTCACGAATGTTGTGTGCAGGGCGGCAGTGCCGCGCCACACACAGGTGGCAGCATTGCCATGGACCTTGTGCAGGCGGCGGCACCACTGCAAGTAGCAGGTAGGCTGCGGCGCGATCCTCGCACGGGGGTGGCAGTGCGAATCACATGCAGGGGCAGCATCGCTGAGGGCCACGACACGATTGCGTGGGGTGGTAGCATGATCCTCGTGCCGGGATGGCATCACTGCAGGCTGCACCGCGATCCTTGCACGGGGGTGGCGGCGCGATCCTCACACCGGGATGGCTTTGCACAAGGACGGGGGTGCGAGCCTCGCGCCGGGGGCAACATTACTGCGGGCTGCGGCGTGAGCCTCGCGCTGATACCACAAACTTCACAAAGGGGTCACTGTCACTGAGAGCCTCACGTGCATGCTTGCAGCCCCCTTTGCGGGGTGCACCTGCTCGCAGCCTGTTTGTACACGCGTGCGCACGTGTGGCCACATTTGCGTTTGCGCATGTGCACGTAAGGTGCCTGCCTCTCCCTCTCCCACCAGGCCGCCAATCCAAAAAGGTTGGACACCCCTGTATTAGCGGGCTTGGCCTATATGTCAATAGGCATAACAGCTGCAGTACTTCAGCAATCTTAATTGCTGAGGTGCTATTGTGTTTTATTTTTTGTATGTGTCCAATCAGACCACACGTCCTAAAAGACAGGATAAACGAAGTTTATTGAGAACATCCTTTCATTACCGTAGTTGGGCATTTTAGTAGCAGATAGATTAGTCAAAGCTGTGTTCTACCAAAATTTACCATGGATGTTTAATCATATTTGTTAAAAGCTACCGTTTAGTGTAAAGCTTCCTTGCCTAAAGGAGACTTCTGTTCACTGCAGGAAGCCAGATAATTAGCTACAGCTGCAATTCTGTATATTATTTCACTTCTACTTAATAGCATCCAATAATATTCAAAGTGATCAGATTCTTAATTTGAATAAGCGCGCCTCTCTTTAGTTGGATTGCTGTCCTGTCACTGCATAATTGTGAGCCTCAGATTACACTGAGGATTAATTGGATTTTTCAGCACAGCATAATTTAGCTCCGGTCTTGAGAAGGGGCAGGAGAAGGGAAACAGTTGCTCAGCCCTGGAAAAGCAGAAAAGGTGAGGAAGAGAATTGGAGCAGCCTTGGCTCAACATGTGCTCCTCTTTCCCTCCCTCTATTATTTTTATAAACAACTCAAGGTACTGAACATGTTTAATATTCCTTCTTCCTCCTCTTTTCCACACAACAACAACCCAGGTGGGTTGGGCTGAGGGAGGGGGACTGGCCCAAAATCACCCAGCTGGCTTTCACGACTAAGGAAGGACTAGAACTCACAGTCTCTTGGTGATTGGCTCAAAATCATCTAAGCCAGGGGTTCTCAACCTTGGCAACTTTAAGACTTGTGGACTTCAACTCCCAGAATTCCACAAGTCTTAAAGTTGCCAAGGTTGAGAACCCCTGAATATTCTAAGCTGACTTTCATGTGCCATAACCCCCCTTTGAAACTTTAAATACTAATAAGAGTTGCTTGGAACTGGGCAGTATGTAAGTTTAATGAGTTATTAAAATACCAACATTTAGTATGGAAAAAGATAAATTACAGATCGGTCCACATTGTGGCAATTCAAGTGATAAATCGTTTTTTTAAAAAATGAAATAAATTACTCTGGACAGACTAAGAGGTAGCCCCTGCTATCATTTGCTAGAATGTCCAAAATAAATGGGAAAGATTTAAAACTGTTATTACAGGTTGTAAGAAATTCTGAAGGGAAATATGTATCTTTATGAACAAAAACCGAAGTTAACTCCCAATTCCATAACTTGACCAGAGAAAGAAGCTGAACACTTAGCTCAACAGAACAAACATAAAAACAGTTTCTACAGACTAACCATGGTTAAACATGATCCATTAGTTTCAACAGAAGTTACTTCTGAGTCAGTATATACACAGCATTACATTTGCAAGTCTTCTTGATTTGAAATTCCCTGGTTTATTTATTAATTTGATTAATACAGTTGCCGTTCTCAACTGGATAACTCTGGACAAATTGCAATTTAAAAATTACAAAAAATAGTACAATCAAACCACATAAAGAATATCTAGGAAACCAATATAAATTAAATTCTGTTCAAGTATTAAAGCTACCGAATGAAACATCATAATCCAGGCTAGCAAAGGCTGATGCAAACCATAATCGAAAGGGCCTTAAGGTCTCCAGCCTTGAACAAAATAGGCAAAAAGTAATTAACATTGCAAAGAATCTATAATTCATTGCAACCCAATCACAATATCCTGCAGCCCTGTCACTAGGAATCATTTGTGTTGCTGCAGCAAACTAAAAGAACACCCAGCGAAACTGATTCTCACCGTCTCAAATTCCTGATTTCAAATACCGTATCTTCGTCGCTTTCTAGAGAAGCCATCTCCATGGGATCTTCTGAGTTGGACAGAAGTCCGTATTTTTTCCGTGGAGGTTTCCTGGTCCTACGAAATAAGTCTACAATCAGTTGCAGAATTTATTCACAAATTTACTTCACAGATCCATACGATTGGCCATCTTCCTCAGCTAACTCCACATGGCTAACAAAGCATAAAACAGGAACTTTATATATATATAAAACCAGCAAAAAAATGTAATCAAATTTTCAAAGCACAAAGCCAACAGGATCAGAGCCATCTAAATCTCAAGGGGAAGCTGTTCCACAGGGCAGGTCCTCTGACTAAGAAGGCACAACATAAAACGACATATCTCCATAAAACGACACGGCTTTACAGAACATCCTGGAGGCCCATTTTGCTATATCTACTGCAGGGATCTTCAAACGTGGCCCTTTTATGACTTATGGACTTCAACTCCCAGAATTCCTCAACCACAAATCATAAAAGGGCCAAGTTTGAAGATCCCTGATCTAGTGAGACAGATGGGAGACTATTGACCTCTCAAGTATCCTGGCTCCATACCATAACTGGCACCTTACATTGCAGCTGGAAATGTACTGAAAGAAAGTATAGCTTCAGTAAGTAGTGGCGTGAACATGGGTGCACACCCAAAACTGTGTCACAATCTGGATCAGCTGCAGCTTCCAAATGCTTTTCAAGGGCAGCTTCATGTAGAGCATGTTGCAACAGCTCAACCGGGAAGTGACGAAAGCATGTTGTGACCCTGAGGGCAGCCTCTCGATACAGACACAACTAGTATATAAGGTGTAGTTGTATAAAAGCTTCCTGACCACAGATGGCCTTTTGGTACCATTGCTTTATTACTTCTGCCAGTTTTGGAGGACTCCCCCCTTAAAGGCAATGTTAAATCAAGTTTATTAGACTAACGGACAGGGTTGGGCTTTAGTGACTGAAGTCTCAATCAGTTTTCCATCGTGGCTGACATCTCCAGAGGAAAGATTGTCTCAGGCAACTGAGCAAAGACTGAGCTCCTGTCTTTATATTATATATATTAGATTTATTAGACTAACCAATGTGTTCTAAGTAACAACAAATATATAATAAGGACACTACAGGCAGTCCTCGACTTACGACCACAATTGAGCCCAAAATGTATGTTAAGTGAGTCATTTGTTAAGTGAGTTTTGCCCCATTTTGCAACCTTTCTTGCCACAGTTGTTAAGTGAATCACTGCAGTTGTTAAGTTAGTAACACAGTTGTTAAGTGAATCTGGCTTCCCCATTGACCTTGCTTGACAAACGCTTACAAAAGGTGATTACATGACCCCAAGTCACTGCAACCGTCACAAATATGGATCATTTGCCAAGCATCAGAATTTTGATCATGTGACCATGGGGATGCTGCAGTGGTCATAAGTGTGAAAAACGGTCTTAAGTCACTTTTTTCGGTGCTGTCATAACTTTGAATGGTCACTAAATGAACTGTTGTAAGTCAAGGACTACCTAGATATAAAATTGGCTCCACATGGCAGTCATATTGAAGTGCTCCTCATGGTTTCTCTCAGAGAACTGCCACTATTTACTAACAATCTAACACTTCCAGTTAATACTGAATAATTTTCATACAGAAACAGTGCTTTACGAAGGTAGGATGCTTGCTTGGCTGCTAATAGTTTCTCCATTAGGAAATGAATAACAGAGATCAAGCTTACTCCAAGCTGAGTCCCCTTCAGATGTTCTAAGACTACTCTCTCCATCAATCCCAGCTAGCATGTCAACTGACCAGCTGGATGGAAGGTGAAATTCACAACTTATGGAGGACTTCCTCTCTCCTTCTCACCCCTCTCCTTCCTTCCTTCCTTCCTTCCTTCCTTCCTTCCTCTCTCCACCTCTCCCCTCTCCTTCCTTCCTTCCTTTTCCTTCTCTTCCTTCCTCTCTCCACTTCTCCCTCTCCTTCCTTCCTCTCTCCACCTCTCCCCTCTCCTCACCCCTCTCCTTCCTTCCTTCCCTTTCCTTCTCTTCCTTCCTCTCTCCACCTCTCCCCTCTCCTTCCTTCCTTCGTTCCCCCTCTCTTCCTTCCTTCCTCTCTCCACCTCTCCCCTTCCTCGTCTCCTCACCCATCTCTCCTTCCTTCCTTCCTCTCTTCACCCCTCCCCTCTCCTTCCTTCCTTCCTCTCTCCTCCTCACCCATCTCTCCTTCCTTTCTTCCTTCCTTCCTTCCTCTCTTCACCCCTCCCCTCTCCTCTCCCCTCTCTCCTTCCTTGCTTCCATCCTTCCTCTCTCCTCCTCACCCCGCCCCTTCCTTCCTTCCTTCCCTCCCTCCCTCCTGAACTGAAGTAGATCCTTAACCTAAAGGCGGCGGCCAAATTGGATGGTATACCTAGAGGTCATCTAGACCCATCCCACCCGTAGGGAAGCCGCTCTTCCTCACCGAAACGTGCGGCCTCCGAGATAGTAGAGGAGGCCGATGCCTGCCAGGCCGGCCACGACGTAGAGCGCGCGGTGAAGGGCCGGCAGGCCCAATCCCGACAGCCCCGACGGCGGGGACCCGGATGTCGTCGCGGTTGTGGCGGTGGAGGCGGGCCGGGAGGCACTCTCGTGGCTTTTCTCTTTCGGCGACAGGGAAGGAGCCGTCTTATTCGAGTGGGTCGTCGCCGCCGCTGCGATTATTACGATCCAAAGCGCCAGCGGCCAACCGAAGCAAGTCGCCGCCATTCGGATCGGCAAACGCCGATTTCTGAGGAAAAGCGGCCCGGACCGGAAGTGTTGGCGGGGGGCGCAGTGTAGTGTCGGACCAACTTCCGATTCTTTTACCTCAATTGGGGAAGTAGGCCTGGCCGGATCTCGGTCGGGAATTTCCTTGTTCCTGGAGCCATGAATGGAGGTAGTCGAAAGCAGAATCTAAATATCTTAAACCTGAAATAAGGAGAGAAAAGTCCGCACAGGGCTAAATAAAAGAGATCAAGTGACTATCGGATCGACTCGCAAAAATCGGGACTACAGTTCCCACCCAGCACCGCATGAGAGAGGCTTAATCGCTATTGGTCAATTTCCCAGTGCATTACAGGAAAGGGGAGGGGCCTTATCAGAGGCGACGTATCAGGCTGTTGGCGTCATGATCTGCTGGGAAATGCCGTTCGGCATTGAGCAACGTTTTCCTTGAAGTGGGTGGAGTTTATGCCGCGGTGCTTCTTGGGAAAGTCTCGGTTCGTATTCACAAAAATAAAAACCATCCTGCTTCCCGTCATGCCTCGCGGCAAGCCCTCTGTCCCTCGCGGAGTCTGCTGGGATTTGTAGGCCAGGCCTGGTTGCCGGTCGACCTCGCTGCTGCTTCTCCTGTCTGCCCTTGGCTTCGCCATGTTCCCCGTCGGTCGTTTTCTCGCCCGCGCTTTGGTGTTGGGGTCCCGGTCCCCGTCCCGTTATTATGCTGAAGCGGCAGCGGCTGCTACGGGCCCTGCACAGCTGGCCTTCACCTTCGCCTCGCCCGCTCAGGTATTGTCATGGCAACCGAACTGAGGTGGGCCTGCTGGGTCGCGTATTCGTTGTCGGAACGATCTGCGCGAAATCTAGTTGCCTTCTGGGTTTGGGCATCCCTTGTTCCGTGAAGCTCGTGTGTGCTGTTAACCCGGGTTTACTCTGTTGTGTGAACGTGCCCGATGGAGAAGGGCAGTTCCTAGTTAACCAGATCGAGATGCAAGCAGGTAATGTAGGCGGAGAAGGAGGCTGGATTCGCTTAACAACTGCGTGCTTCGTTTAATAAAAATGGGGAAAGGCTTTAAAATTGGGCACGACTCACTTAACAACCGCCTTGCTTGGCAGTTGAAATTCTGGTCCCAATTGTGGTCACAAGTCGAGGATTATCTGTATTGGGCTTCCTGGATTGGAACTGAAGGCTATCGTTTCAAATTTTTGGAGGCCGTGGGTTTTGTACCCCAGATAAATTATTATTTTAAAATTTATATACCACTTGATTGTCAGCAACTCTGGGCAGTATATAAGTATCCTTCCTGTGAATCAAGAATAATAATTATCAGCTCTCTTCTCTTTTGTTTTCTATTTTTTTTTAAAAAAAAAAAATCCTGCTGCAGTGCCTTCTCTCCTTTTCAGGTTTGTTAAAAATATACCTTTACAGGTAGTCCTCGACTTAACGACCACAACTGAACCCAAAATTTTTGTTAAGTGAATTTTGCTCCATTTTACAAGCTTTCTTGTCACAATTAAGTGAATCACTGCAGTTGTTAAATTAGCAACACGGTTGTTAAGTGGTTTTCCTATTGACTTTGCATATCAGAAGGTCGCAAAAGGTGAACATGACCCTGGGACAGTACAACGGACATAAATGTGAGTCAGTTCCCAAGCATCTGAATTTTGATCACGTGATCATGGGGATGTTGCAATAGTTTTCATCAGTCGTAAGTGTGAAAAATGGTCATAAGTAACTTTTCAGTGCCATTGTAGCTTTGAACACTCACTAAATGCACTGTTGTAAGTCAAGGACTACCTTTTATTTTCTTTCCCATTTTTTTTCCTACAGATTTTCTACAATGCTGCCATTGTGAAACAGGTGGATGTTCCCACCTTAAGTGGATCCTTTGGCATCTTGGCTGCTCACGTTCCCACTCTGCAAGTCCTGAGACCTGGCGTTGTGACCGTCTTTGATGAGGATGGCTCCTCCAAAAAGTACTTCGGTGCGTTTGAAAAGGGTGGCTGGTGAAAGAACAGGAAATTATCTTAGCTGGGGGACATCTTTCACAAGAGATCTGTGATCCATTTTTTCCCTTGAATGGGTATCTGCAAACTGGGCTTGGGAACCATCGATAATTTATGTCAATTAGCTACTGCTGAAGTGTTTCTGAGCTCAAGCTTTCCCTTGAATTAAAACATTCTCCTCATATTTTGCAAAACTGCTGTTCAGAACTACAGAGAAAGGACTTGCTCACCTTCCCAAATTCTTTCTTCCAAATGTTGGCTAGTTACTAGCTTTCAAAGATTAATCGCAATAATAGCATCAAGGTCATGACAAATAATATCACTTTGTATTGCGCGAGTGAAGCCACACTTGGAATAAAGCATCTAATTCTGGTCACTATGATGCAACCATGTTGCTGAGACCCTAGAAAGTGTACAGGGAAAAGCAACAAAGATGATAGGCTAAATCCTACGTTGAATGGCTAAGGGAGCCAGGTAGGTCTAGTCCAGGGGTAGGCAACCTTGGCTCTTTTATGATTTGTGGACTTCAACTCCCAGAATTCCTGAGGCAGCATGGCTGGTTCAGGAATTCTGGGTATTGAAGTCCACAAGTCATAAAAGGGCCAAGGTTGCCTACCCCTGGTCTAGTCTATCTAAGAGAAGAATTAAGGGAGCCATGATAACTGTCTTCCAGTACTTGAGGGGTTCTCTCAGAGAAGAGGGGACTGATTTATTCTCCAAAGTACCAGAAGGCAGGACAAGAAGTAATGGGAGGAGGTTTACTAAAGGGAGATCCAACCTAGAAGTAAGAATAAATTTTCTGACAGAATAATTAATGGAATAGCTTGCCTCCTGAAGTGGTGGGTGCTCCATCACAGTAGAATAGACTGGACAACCATTTGATTGGGATGGTATAAGCCAAGGGTCTTCAAACTTGGCAACTTTAAGGCTTGTGGACTTCAACTCCCAGAATTCCTCAGCCAGCCCTGGCTGGCTGAGGAATTCTGGGAGTTGAAGTCCACAAGCCTTAAAGTTGCCAAGTTTGAAGACCCCCCGGTATAAGCTTTCCTGCCTTGAGCAAGGGGTTGGGCTGGAAGGCCTCCGAGGTCTCTTCCAGACTTAATAATTCTATGTTCTGTGTACTTGTATATGGACAGAAAGAATTAAAAGTGGCCAGGCTCACTCCTCTTGGCAACAAACAAGTCCTTGACTTACAACCGTTCATTTAGTGGCCATTTGAAGTTAACAACAGCACTGAAAAAAGTGATTTACTTGTTTTTCATACTTGTGACCCTTGCAGCATCTCCCTGGACACATGGTCAAAATTCAGGCGCTTGGCAACTGGTTCATATTTATGACGGTTGCCGTTTTCTGGGGTCGTGTGATCCCCTTTTGCGGCCTTCCGGCCAGCAAAGCCAATCATGGAAGCCAGATTCACTTAACAGCCATGTCACTAACTTCACAACTGCAGTGATTCACTTAACAAACGTGGCAAGTACGTTCGTAAAATGGGGCAAAAAATTCAAGTGTCTTTCTTAGCAACAGAAATGTTGAGCTCAGTTGTGACCGTAAGTTGAGGACTATTTGTGCTTTGTCTCAGTTAAAAGAGGAAGCCTTTTTTTTTTAAACACCCTAATCCACTCTAGTTATATTTAGCTTAATTCAGTTTGCTGGTTCACTTTCTCCGGGCATGTTAGATTTCAGCTCCCAGGATTCTTCATTGTTTCTTCAATGAAATTAGAACAATTTGGGGGGGGGAGGAGAAATGAATGGGGTGGTTTCCCCCCCCACACACACACACACACTGAGTTTTTGTGGAGAAGAGGATATGCAATGCAATGATATAGAACAGGGGTCTTCAAACCTGGCCCTTTTATGACTTGTGGACTTCAACTCCCAGAATTCCTCAGTCAGGCAAGCTGGCTGAGGAATTCTGGGAGTTAAAGTCCACAAGTCATAAAAGGGCCAAGTTTGAAGACCCCCTGATATAGAAGGATATATGTGGGAAAACCTGAGGGTGTACCTTAAGCATCCAGCAGAAATCTTCCTTTTCCTCTGGATATTTTAAATAAGAGTATTTCTGATTGCTCTATTGCAGGGCTTTTCAACCTTTTCACCCATTGTACCACTTTTAGGATATGGCAATATCCGAGTACCACCAGTCGCCTAGCAAAGTGTCAAAAACTTGATGACCAAAAAAGAAAATAGCGGGGGTGGGGTGGGGGGGTGTTTGGTTTTTATTCCCCCCGTCTGCTGGGTGGTTGCAGCAGGTTTTGGTCACTTCACATGACCCTGGGACACTGTGACCGTCATAAATATGAATCAGTTGCCAAGCATCTGAATGTAAATCACAAGACCCTGGAGATGCTGCAACATTCCAGCTGATTGGTGCTTCTTCAGGGCTCAGCAGAAGCACCAGGATGAGCGCCGAGCTCCAGCTGGAGCCTGGCGCTGATCCTGCCGCTTCCACTGAGCCCTGACAGTCTCGAAGAAGCGCCAATCAGCTGGAAAGCGGCACTGATCCTGGCGCTTCCGCTGAGCCCTGACAGCCCTGCAGCTCCAGCCATCTCTCGCTCAGGCTTGTGCGGTGCTGCCACCGGTTCAGCTCATTCCCCTCCCCCACTACCACTTTTCTAGGATGGTCGCGTACCACCTGCCAGGTGCCAATGTACCACAGGTGGTACCCGTACCACTGGTTGAAAAGCCCTGCTCTATTGTGCTGGTGGTTTTGCTCTGGCGCTTGTTATAGCCTGCATTTTCTAACCTTTTGCTGGTGCTCCCACCCTCGTCGATTGTAGTTTTCTACCTCATGCGCTTCATTAGTCAGGCGTCCCCCAGAGAACATCCATCACTAGCCATCTAGGAAAGGAATGGAACAAGCAAATCTTTGTAGGCAGGGAATTCTAATCACTGGAGGCCTCGTCCGCTGACTGATTATACCATTTTTTTGCAATTGTGTAGTGAGCAGCGGTTCTCTCACCGTGAATGCAGATTCCTCTGTCCAGCTGTTAGCTGAAGAAGTGGCTTTATTGGATGAGCTCGATGCTGCGGTTAGTATTTGTCTGTCTTCTCCCCTTTTTCATTTCTTCTTCCCTCCCTCTCCAGACAATCCCCGCTTGGCTGCCAAATTAGGAGAGATTTCTCTCCACCATGCTGACTCAGCAGCACTGCAGTTCGGTCTCTTTTTTAAAAAAAAAAATCAGTTTTTCTGCAGCTCAGTTACCATTTCAGTCAATTAAAGCGAAAAAAAGCTTTGATTAAAGAAGTACTAATCTTTGTGGTCAAGTTTGAA